AGGTCACCCAAAATATCTCTGTATCGATGTCCCATGGCTTGCATTTGAGATTTCCCGAGACTTGTCAAGTCCCCGGGTGCCTGACACGAGACTTCGAACCGCTAGCCTCAAAAGTCTCAGCGAGTACCAGAACGCCTCCCCAGGGATATGCTCCCGGGGGATAGGAACTCAGATTTGTAGGAGTCCGAGCACCATGCCGAGATAACACCTACAAGACAACCACCTCTCCGCTGGCTATGTAGCAACCCAGTATGGATGTTTTTTTCGAGGTCCTGGAGAATCACGAGCCCCTCCACAGAGATCCGCGAAACTCACGATAGTCGCCAAGCGCTTCATTTTGACATCCCCAGCTGAAACGAAGCCTCGTGAAGTTAGTAATGTTACTGCTAATAGCAGCAGGTGGGCTACTTGAACATGCTTGCAAAAGCTCACCATTGACAAAAGAGACATTCCACTGCCGGACAGCTTGGACGTTCCGATGTGTAACTGACTCAACACTCGTCAGACACCCGAGCGGCGGAGAGGTCGACGAACACCCGACAATGGAACCCACTGAATGGGTCCTTGAGTTCGTGGCCACATTTTCTATATTCTGCGCCCCATCCACAGACAAAAGTATCCACTTACTGGCCAGTTATCCCGCATGGCGCGATATTCGCCACGTAACTAGCTAATTCTCACGCACGCCGAGGTAGTTGCCACGCTACTTGTTAGTTAGCACGCACGCCCATTGGCTTACTCTGAGTATCCCACAACCTAGTGCACCGGATGGGCCATGTTCTGACCATGTCAGGGTCAAGCTCAGCTCTCTATCAAAATGGTTGATGCCTAGCAGATGCGGTACAGATGTCAAGAGAAACAAACTTTTGGAAAAGTTCCCCTGAGGAAACCTGTCAGACTCCGGATGCTCAGTGCAAAAGCAAGAAAGCCACTCCAGACACTCTCATTAACTCCAACACAAAATCTTGTACGCACAAAAACACTTTCATCCGAGTATATCAGGTGAAGAGAGGCATTATCGCAGGCGAAGTCACCTACCATCGCCTGGGAGAATACGTGTGTAGACGCTCCTCCCCAGTCATAGCTAGAACGTGACATAGGGAGCCAAGGAGCAAATAGTGATGGGAGGATCTGCCCGCTTCTGTTGGCCAGTTTGTTAGCTGTACTATGTGGAGTGTTCGCTATATGTAACTCGACTCCGTTCGGCGACGATTAGTTCCCTCTTTCATCCGACTGTACAGCCCTGCCCGTGCGAAGGCTTCGCAGCGAAGCAGACAAATAAGCAGCACATGGCAGGCGCGAGAGTCCTAGGTGTAGCTCACGGATACATGCGTGATTCACGCAGGGTGATACGATCAATGACACGTAGAGGCTTCCGTGGATTCTTTGGATGGATTATTATTGGCACTCCTGTCAAAGTGTTATTCTATACCCGTATCTACCTTTGGGATTGTGTTGCCGAAGTCACTAAAATCGACGACTTCGAGTAAATTCCTTCAGAAAATGAGAAAGGCTACGCGCCGACTCAGCTACTAGGCACGGATACGCTGTCTCCCTTGCAATGGTTCCACCGCACGGCCCACACACAGGGGTCAAAAACGTGCGAGTATAGATGGTTGGAGAGGCGAATCGAGCTTCTCTCAAACAGTATATGATGTGTACTTCAAATACTTCGAATGATTATAATGCACTCTGTTGTATCAACACTATCGGCTCGGATGAACATTTGTCACTGATATAGGCACTGGGTCTTCGTGACGAAGGGGCGGAACTTGCAAGCTTCACAGCAATTGACTGGGAAGGGGAATTCAGCGGTGTTGGGATAGGAATGCTCAAGAATCTCGAGTCATGATTGGTTTTCGAACGAGTTCGCCATTGGCGGTCGCATTTTCGATGTGCTATCATGGTTCTCTAGTAGCTTACGTTCTAAAATCGGGTACCAAGCTGTACACTGCAATCTGTGTGCGGAAGCGAGTTCTCCGATTTTCGCGTAGACCATGGCATATAGAGAAGTCGTTTGATTCATCTGGTGCCCCTATTGACTTGGTACTTCAGCCGGTATAACTCTGCACCCACACGCGCACAACGCGTAAGTGGCCATCAGTACCCAGGCATGCTGATCATCAGTAGCTGATTGCACGGATACAGCATTCCCCAGTATTCGCATGCGGTTGGCCTGGCCAACTTGGCCAGAAATAGCAGTGCGTAAGTCAGAAACATGACTGGGAAATGCTGTAGTAGTTACGAACTTCGAGACTACTATTTGGGTCATCAGTTTCGAATCAGTGCGTGATATTAAGCGTGTCGCTCAAAGTAATGGAAACTGATCATGGCGTCCAAATAAGATACCCGCCCTACCTCTCGTCGAAGGCTTGAAGAGAGCACTTCCACCTTGTTGGGAAGGAGGTCACCCAAAATATCTCTGTATCGATGTCCCATGGCTCGCATTTGAGATTTCCCGAGACTTGTCAAGTCCCCGGGTGCCTGACACGAGACTTCGACCCTGGCCTCAAAAGCCTCGGCAAGTACCAGAACGCCACCCCAGGGATATGCTCCCGGGGGATAGGAACTCAGATTTGTAGGAGTCCGAGCACCATGCCGAGATAACACCTACAAGACAACCACCTCTCCGCTGGCTAAGCAACCGTCCAGTTCGACACTCACGATGCTCTATAGACTCTCAAGCGTCTTCAGTAATACCCCCGTGGCTCACAAAGATAGCCAGGCACTTTATGTTGATGTCTACCCTAGAGCATCCCATATTCTCCTGCAGATGAGCTCCTACTCTCCCGACACCTCTAAGTCTCAAATGTATGAATGTGAACCTGTGAGGCCAATATCGCTGCTGGATAGCACGAGTGATAACGCAAATCAAATTTCTGGTCATGAACATACTTCTAATTCAGCAGAAACAATAATTGTGAGGAAATTCTGCAAGGCCATTTCTTTCTTAGCTACCGCCGCATCCCTGTCACCCGGGATCATCTTTAAGGCAACTTCTGTGACCTGGGCCACTCTGAGCCAATCGACCTGCCCCCTTGGGGCCTCCCTCAACTGCCCCATCGCCACGTTAGACACATATCCAGAGACTAGCCAAGCCTTCTCAATTATTCTCAGCAAGAATGAGAAACATCTCCTTCTCGTGCTGCACGTCACCTTAGCGCTGTTCCTCAGGACCATGCCGGCTAATATGGCGACCTTACCTAGCGTTCGATCCTTAGGGTTTCGCAGCTCCTCGCAGGGCTTCAAGGCCTGGTCCAGCAGGATATCAGGAGGGTTAGGACACTTGGCGAGCTCGTCGATGGCATGCATGCGCAATGGCTGATACCGTCCATCTTGGAGGCATTCAGACACCAAGCGAGCCGCCAGCCGTTTGAGAGCAGCAGGCGCCCCCTCGATGTCAATTACACGGACACTCACAGGCAATACCGCTCCCCGCTGAGCACAAATCTCCGGTATTGTAGCATGACGGAGAGCCGCCGCCTGTTCAGCTTGTGCGACTAGCAAGGCGTCAATTCCCGACAAGGTATCAACAGACAAATGCTTAGCGATGGTTTCGAAGAGCACCGGAGCAGCGGCTTCTCGCAAGCTAGCGTATTCGACCAAGGCAGGCACCAGACAGGAGACTCTGCGATTTGTCCGAGTAGCAGCACTGAAGGCCCGAGCCCTCACGGCCTTGTCGGTGCTCCTGAGTGAGTCCCTCAAGTAGCGGGCTGCCAGCCCTTCCAAACCATCTCCCAGCAGTAGACAGGCATGTGCAGCGTCCACCAACCCTATGGACTCATCCTCGGGTTCCTCATTCATTTCTATGATTCGCTTGAAGATCTCATCGTGGCCCTTGTCGGTGTCAGTAGGACAGCATACAGCAACATTAGCGCTCGCCCGAGCAGCGGCTAGTTGGTCTTCACTGGACTTGAACTTACAAGTGAGAAGCCTCAATGCGAAACTCTGAATTTCTTCAGCTGGAGCAGCGCCCAGTGTGTGTCTCTGATAGCAGTAGATGTTAAGACATCCATCCATGACCATACTCACTTTCCAATATCAATTCCTTTCCCGATGGGAACACGAGAGGCAGTAAACCAGCGAGCTCCGAACCAGCCGATATCGCAGTACGACGGTCAAGCAGCTCTCTGCTATCCAGCAACCTGGGCCATTCGTCGGGGCAGATAAGGCATCGGTCTCCTACCTCCCTGCAGCAGCTAATAACCTCAGCGTGTCCCTACTGTATTGAGGAGTAGTGAGAGCTCGTCGACCTCCCTTGTTGGGCTTCTCTAGCGCACGCCGGAGAGTGGCAGCACATGCATGGACAGCAGCCCGACGGACATACGGTGACTTGCCGCTTGTGCCTAGGAGTGGCATCAGCAGTGAATCGATACGCATATCATACACAGTGTGAGCATGCCAGGACAGTCGAGTGTATCCAAGAGCCACGCCGAGGATACATGGCCAGTATCAGCATGTCGTACGATTGCAGAGTAGCACCTGAGCAACGGCCTCCCCCAGCTGACGGCCTCCCTGCAGTAGCTAACCGTAATGCCTCAGCTTGTAGTCGACTCGATCGATCATCCCAGTCAATTCCGTCCTCTTTGTTCGACCCGTCAGTATTGAAAGTTGAGCTCTCACCAGTGTCGCGGTGATTGCTGCATCCCCACCAGCGCAAGACAGCTAGCCACTCACCCTCCCGCTGTGACCAGACGACGGTGCCGAGATCGACCTTCTTCAGTAAGATACGGTAAACTCTCTGTAGTGCTCGATAGACCTTATTCTTATTCACCAAGACACTGTCGTCATTTGTTTGTAGTCGACAGCGATAATACTCTCCCTCTATCGAGTCGAGGAGGTCTACCAACGATGGATTGCCGTTCATTTCGAGTCGCAACACCTGCATAGAGACGCTTAACCATGACCTTTTCCCCTAGTATCCCCACTACAAGTACTCTTTAGAGGTGTATGACCAGCCCAAGGTTTAACTACCCTAGCCTGGACCCATTAGAACAATACAACTCTGAGCGATTCTCATTGAAACGAACTAGGCACTGTAAACAATTGCGAGTGCACTGTACGGCACTCAGTCGTTTCTTAATACTTGACGCTCGTATCTGGCCGGCGAAGCCACTATGGAGAACCCCATCACTCGGGGAACCTATCAGGAATGAACTGAGGCTTTCCTCGCTTATCTTATTATCATCCACGCTGGATCGATAGTACAAGTTGGAGGTAGTCTCTAGACAAAACTCGCGATGCGATGATATCAACTCGATATGGTTCGGTGTTACGACAGAGCTCTCTCTACCATGGTTTATACAAGCCCCTCGATCGGTTAGTTGCGCGAGGCAGGCTGATCAACCTTGTGCCCGATCGCGTTGAGGCAAGTGGGAACATCCGTCATTGGAATGATGCTCGACTGAATGGAAGCGGAGACCTTTCTCTTCGTGTTTCGAATCTCCCACAAGCAATCGACTATAGATTTGCACACAAATTGGCCAGTCCGGAGCTGAAATACCTCCAGCATGCCGCCTGCTACCACGTAGCCAATATCGCCAGTCTCATACCGGCGAATGAAGTACTTTAAATCTGGGAGTGGATCCAATCACGCACATTCTGCGGTCTTTTTATATACTAAATGATACGTATGAGGCACAAATGTGGATCATATAACCAATTCTAGTTTTTTGGCAAGCTCCTGAGAACGCACTTCGTTCAACGCAGTTGAAAAACGGTACTGCCTACGATAACACTATGTAAGTGTAATAATACTAGATTCCCTTGCCATTCCCATTGGCAATCTTGCTGCGGTCATATCCTGACCATTGAGACAGCCTATCGCGAGAGCGAATCCTTCTACATAGATCCCCACAGCCACGCTGGTGGGAACGCGAAGGACTAGAAGTTTATGGCGTTGACCTAAGACGGCTCATAAGGATAGCGAGCAAATTACTAGCGATCCGCAGTGTATCGAGTACAGCGGCTTATAGGAATCTTCGAGTTGCGCTAAGAGAACTGGGAATTTCGTGGCGCGTGACGATTTCCAAAGCGCAGTTTATTTTCTGAACTTCAGGATCCAACCTCGTCTTTTTCGCGATGCCCTCATCATCAACACCACTGTCCAAGTCAGCTGAGATAGCAATATTAGCAGCTGCTGGTGTAATATAGCGGGTTATGGTCGTTCACTAAAGGGTCGTCCTATCTGTTCTAGAGGCTACCCCGGTTCCTCTCGTGGTTACAATCTGTGGGCGTCTAGGGGTCGCGTAGAAGATGATGGGAAATGACCTGAGACAAACTTCGTTATCAATAATACCGATTTCGCTAGGGGAAGGAGGTCTGGTGTGTATTCAGTCATGTTCTGGCATATCTGCCCCAAACGAAATCGGCTTCATTAGTAGCGCGAACGATCCACACACACGAATTACCTCGGTCGTGTGGACTAAAGTCATCACCTTGTGTCAAGAGCGGGTGGGATCGGTTGTATCTAGCCATATCTTGGGGTGGCATAGGTACCCCACCGCAAAACTCCATCTCGCTGAGACCTTGAAATCTCGAACTGGTTTTCTGACTTTATTATCGCAGCAAGGTAAATCTTGGGGTGGCATAGGTGCCCCACCACAAAATTCCATCTCACTAAGACCTTAAAATCTCGAACTGCTTTTCTGACTTCATTATCTCTTCGTAAGATCTCAGTAAGGTAAATCTTGGGGTGGCATAGCTGCCCCACCGCGAAATTCCATCTCACTAACACCTTGAAATCTCAATCCGCTTTTCTGACCTTATTATCTCTCCGTGTAAGGGCAGCAAGGTGAATCTTGGGGTGGCATAGCTGCCCCACCGCAAAATTCCATCTCACTAACACCTTGAAATCTCGAACTGCTTTTCTGACTTTATTATCTCTTCGTATAATCACAGCCAGGAAAGGTTGGGTCTTCACCGTCATCATCAACTCACATCAGCCCCATAAACTCCCCAGTCTTCAGTCCCCATTTCCTGGTCAAATTATTTTTCTACCGGCAAATTCAATTTTTCCCCACTTGGTTAACGTTTCACTTTTTTCGTTAATGTTTCACCCATGGCTTTAGTTAGGCTCGAGAAAATTAATATTATCCCGGTTTATTTGAAAGTTTAGGAGTTTGATTTAACCAAGTTTAATTTGACCTGGAAATGTTTTGTAGTACTCCCCAGTGTGACCTTCGTGTCTTAGTGGGGGTACATTCTCTGTCTAGAGGAGGTGCATTGTGTTTGATTCACGGCTCAGGTTCTCTGTGCGGCGGTGCCAGCATCGGACATACTATGTGGCACTGAGATGATGGCTTCGATCGTTTTGGCTGCACTAGCATGTAGGATCAGGAGGGAATCTCAGCTCGCGTCGGGCTGGAGAGTATGGTTACCAGTAGGTGTTGTAACCAATAAGACCCTACCCCCTGCTCTAGCCTCCCTTCGAAGGGCTGGCATATGTGGAAAGGATCTCAATAAGAAAGGAAATCCTGAGGTGAGAAAAGTGACCATCACCTCATCTTTTATGCCTCGCCTCCGTTACCGGTTTCCGATTAAATCGTTATCTAGATTCCAGAGGCCGCGGGCGTTTGCGTGGGAGCAGTCTATTGCCTAGCACTATCGCTTTTCCTGCCCTTCCATATGATGTGTTCTACCTCACGGGGGATACCCATGGACGAGGCGGAGTTGATGAGCCAGAGGAAAGCTAGTAGTATGGGCCCGTCGTCTTTGGGGCGCATACATCGTATAGGGAAGATCAGCCAGGGAGCGGCCTATGTCTCGAATTGCCCCCGCAATCCTAACTGGCCGTGAGCAATTGAAGCCTTTATCACTTGATATTGTTAGTAACATACCAGCGTTGGTAATCTATCAGTTCGTCAAAATGTCCCTAAAAGACTTTTAAGTAGTGTCTAAACTTCGCGTTATTCGATATCAGTGCGAGGTGGACCACTAAAGTGAATTTGCTGTTTTCAGGCCTCTTCATGGGCTCTCTCTTATCCATCAACGCCATGTGTTTCCTTGGCTTCGCAGATAACGTTCTAGATCTGCCATGGCGCGTCAAGCTCATCATACCCACAGGTAGTCATCGCATATCACCTGTCAGCTGAATGGTCTCCTTCTCAGTGGCGACTCTACCACTGTTGCTAGTATATTATTCCTCAATTGGAAACACCTGGGTTCTGCTGCCGGATTTTATGCATCCGTATCTACCGTAAGGAATGTACTGTTTGTCGTTGCCATTGAGTAGTATGGACCTCTCAGGGATGGCCATGGAGCTATCGACATTGGTGTGCTCTACTACGTTTTCCTGTCGTTGTTGTCGGTTTTCTGCACGAATGCCATTAACATACTAGCGGGTAGTATTGTGGGCGGCTTCATGTTGTTCACGCGCGTAGCTTGAGTAGCTGCCGGCTGTGAAATGTTGATGAACCGTATGGCTCACCATTGTCGTTGAGGTCACTGGGCTACTCTTACTATCCTCATTACTACTACCTCTAGTACTACTGCAGTGAGATTGACCTCTTATGATAGGTATAAACGGCCTGGAGATAGGTCAGTCCATGGTATTAGCAGTATCCCTCATCCTCAATGACCTCCTGCAGCTGTACAGGCATGCTCAGCAGGCAGCCACCTGGCCTCCCTACGAGAGCCATCTGATGAGCCTTTACTTACTTCTACCATTTGTCGGAGGTATAGCAACGACTATCTCACTTTGTTACTTGTCATCTCAGCCTCCTTCCCTTTGATGGTTGCTAATATGTATCCAGCAGTAGCGTTTGTGGGGGACACCTACTGCTATCTCGCAGGCATGACTCTGGCGGCTAGTGGTATACTAGGGCAGTGCTCCAAGACGGTGAGTTGAGCGAATCTTGAGTTGAACGAATCTTCTTGTTTCCTCAGACTCTACTGTTTTTCGGTCCCCAGATATTCAATTTTCTGTAATGGGAGACGTATGACAACACAACCGGCCGATGACGTGTTTAAACGGTAGGTACTCTGCGCCACAGCTTTTCAAGCTGATACCATGCCCTCGCCACCGCTTGCCGCAGTACGAACCGAAAGCTGACCAGCTTAGCGTTAGTTACACTCCTTGGTTTAATCCTGTTGAGGAATTGAGGCCTCTAGGTGACGATATGTTTCTTTGTGAAGTATAATAGGTTCATTTCGTTATGGTTGCAGGTCAGTTCGCGTTGATGGTAATTCAGTCCTTCCACCTGGCTAGGGTTGAATGCGACGAACAGGGTCGAGTCAGAGTGCAAAACTTGACGTTGATAAACCTAGTGCTTTGGTTAAAGAGAGATACTAATGAGAAAAAACTGAATAAAATACTGCTTGGGGTGAGCTCATGATTCGAAGTGTGTGCTGGCTGGGACAGCTGTGGTTCTTCCATTGTTATAGATACAGTGCCTATGGAGCCTCTGCGCGTTCTTCATTCGCTATCGTCTGGCAGGTTTCGTGTACAATGTTGTCGATTGAGTTCACTTGCGTATATTGTTGCTGTTTAGCCGCTTTTTCTCACGGTTGGTGGACTTTGTGTTGGAGAGTGTGTTATAGAGGTTGGTGATGGTGACGCCCAGGCAAGAACGGATACGAGGAGGTGTGTCGCTGAGTGTTGATGCAGGAAACCGCTAGCGAAGGTTCCCCAAGACAGATGGAATACGGTTGAGGTGTATCGTCGATGCAGTGTCACTTACATTGAATATAATATATAAACACATTGATGTTCATAAATTTATATTATAATGATTTTCCTCAACGTTAACCTTATGAATATGCAAGACAACATTACAGTATATTATATTCATTTCCCCTATAACCATATCCCAAATACTATTTTGGGCTTTAACCCTAGTGATACGAAAAACACTAGTGAATAACGTATCTCACGACTACTGCAGGCCGCGAATATCGCGTTTTTCACCGAGTTTTACACCACTTCACGTAAGACTGGTGGAACTCCAATATATCTATGTTATATTAGTGTGTCAACGTGATAGAAATATACCATGATCAATGGTAGCGAATCTATTTTCTCTCGTATTAACCATTTATGAGATGCCGCAGTTTCTTATATGTAATTTCACACAGGAGTTTTATTTCTGTATTTCTGATTATTATGCAGCATTCAAGTCGGTTAGATATGTTACTAGCAGCAGCTGTAGGTAAGCACTGTGATCTGCATAGTACCTGAATCTCTACGTCTGCATACCTCAGGTGGCGACTCTATCAATTGGGAAGCTAATGTAGCAATATGCGATATGCTATCGGTAAGTCGAAGGCCCCTCATTCTGTGAGAGGCTTTCCTTGGCTAGTCCTGTCCAGCACTGATCCCTGAAGTCCTGCTGGAGATTCGCAACAACTTCGAGATGGGCGATTCCCCCAATGTACGTAACAGGTTTACTTGCAGTGTTGGAGAAATATATGTTCGCTTTCCTCAGCTCAGCTCGGGAGCTTTCTCACTACGTATAGGAGTTTATATATGACCCCGCTTAGGAATGTAGAAAAATTAACGATAATTTCCCAAAATTTCCTCTCAGAATTTCCGTATTGTCGCCGACATCTGTGGTTGACCATATGTGTATTTCTTCGCACTGTTCACCTGTGTGGTTTTGTTTACTATTTCAGATTCAACTTTGTTTAACACTCCTAGAGATGCTCGTCAAGAATTGTGGATATATTGTTTGCACCTATATGTCCGATGTAAGCCGCGAGCCCTCATACCCTCACAACTACATCTTTCTGAATCTACTCCAACAATTGTCACCTCAAGTTGATATTTCGGTGATCGACATTTTTCCGCTGAGAACTGTTTTTTAGTGATGACATGGAAAGCACATTCTGTCAGGGTTTCATGAAGGATATGTACAGACTGGCTTCAGTGCCGTGGTGGTATCAACCCCAGTTGAAGGTTCGAGTACCGAGTGGCACTGAGCGGAAGCTGATAAAGTGAGAGACGAGCGGTATAGGACAATTATTATATTTTGTATTGGAATATATGATCGTTTTCCTCAGCTAAGTTCAGAAGTTTCCTCGCAGTATGAAAATTCCCCCAAGATTTCGGGTAGGAGTGTACAGAAACCAACAAGTCAATTCTCCAAATTTTCTCTAGATTTTCATATTGTGCACATTTCCCCGTCCCTCTCCAACATCGTATTATTCCTCAGGGCGAAAGTCCTCTCATTAATACAGGAGTGGTGTGATGCATTTATACTGCGGGAAGGGCAGCTGGAGAGCCTCTTTAAAGCGTATAAGGAATTACGTCGTCGCAAAGGTCAG